TCCTCCCTATAGGCTGACTCATCGTTGTTGGTTATCAGGCCTACAACAGTGGTGTCGTCAGCAAACTTGATGATGGAGTTGTTGTCGTGCAAAGCCACGCAGTCATGGGTGAACAGGGAGTACAGCAGAGGGCTGAGGACACACCCCTGGGGGGAGCCCTGTGTTAAGAGTCAGTGTGGAGGAGGTGGTGTTGCCAATCCTCACAGCCTGTGGTCTGCCTGTCAGGAAGTCTAGGATCCAGTTGCAGAGGGTGGTGTCCAGACCCAGGGCTCTGAGCTTGGTGGTGAATGCTGAACTCTAGTCAATGAACAGCAGCCTGTTTCTCTTGTCCAGATGTGTTACGGCCATGTGAATAGCGATGGAAATGGTATCTTCCATGGATCTGTTGGAGCGGTGGGCAGATTGGAGTGGGTCCAGAGTACCTGGCATGGTGGCCTTGATGTGGGCCATGAACAGCCTCTCAAAGCACTTCATGATGACCGGCGGGTGAGTGCAACGGGGCGATAGTAATTTGGGCATGTCACCTTGTTTTTAGGGCACTGGGATGATGGTGGTCTCCTAGAAGCAGGTGGGGACTACACTGTGGGACAGGGACAGGTTGACAATGTCATCTGGGCCAGGACCCGGACAGGGATGCCAGAAAATACAGCCTGGGACAGGACCCGGCCAGGGATGCCAGAAAATACAGCCTGGGACAGGACCCGGCCAGGGATGCCAGAAAATACAGCCTGGGCCAGGACCCGGCCAGGGATGACAGAAAATACAGCCTGGGACAGGACCCGGCCAGGGATGCCAGAAAATACAGCCTGGGACAGGACCCGGCCAGGGATGCCAGAAAATACAGCCTGGGCCAGGACCCGGCCAGGGATGACAGAAAATACAGCCTGGGACAGGACCCGGCCAGGGATGCCAGAAAATACAGCCTGGGACAGGACCCGGCCAGGGATGCCAGAAAATACAGCCTGGGCCAGGGCCCGGCCAGGGATGCCAGAAAATACAGCCTGGGCCAGGACCCGGCCAGGGATGACAGAAAATACAGCCTGGGACAGGACCCGGCCAGGGATGCCAGAAAATACAGCCTGTGACTGACAATGTATATTCCTCACTGTTGATGGATGAGTCCTGGGTGGATGAATATTTGAACATATTCCAATCAGTATTCTCAAAACAATCCTGCAGAATTGAGTCTGTCTCGTTTATCCAGTATTGAGTCTGCCTCCTCTATCCAGTATTGAGTCTGCCTCCTCTATGCAGTATTGAGTCTGCCTCGTCTGTCCAGTATTGAGTCTGCCTCCTCTATCCAGTATTGAGTCTGTCTCCTCTGTCCAGTATTGAGTCTGCCTCGTCTGTCCAGTATTGAGTCTGCCTCGTCTGTCCAGTATTGAGTCTGCCTCGTCTGTCCAGTATTGAGTCTGCCTCCTCAGTCCAGTATTGAGTCTGCCTCCTCAGTCCAGTATTGAGTCTGCCTCGTCTGTCCAGTATTGAGTCTGCCTCCTCAGTCCAGTATTGAGTCTGCCTCGTCTATCCAGTATTGAGTCTGCCTCCTCAGTCCAGTATTGAGTCTGCCTCCTCAGTCCAGTATTGAGTCTGCCTCGTCTGTCCAGTATTGAGTCTGCCTCCTCAGTCCAGTATTGAGTCTGCCTCGTCTATCCAGTATTGAGTCTGCCTCGTCTGTCCAGTATTGAGTCTGCCTCCTCAGTCCAGTATTGAGTCTGCCTCGTCTGTCCAGTATTGAGTCTGCCTCCTCAGTCCAGTATTGAGTCTGCCTCGTCTATCCAGTATTGAGTCTGCCTCGTCTGTCCAGTATTGAGTCTGCCTCCTCAGTCCAGTATTGAGTCTGCCTCCTCAGTCCAGTATTGAGTCTGCCTCCTCTATCCAATTTCACTGTAGAACCCCAAGTCCCTCTCAAACTGCCTCAAATAGCTCCTTTGTTCCACCCACAATACACGCGGAGACCAGCTCAATCGGTGCCTCCAGTGATGCTATCTCTTTCATTGTTACCCAACGCTTAGGTTTACCTCCACTGTACTCATATCCTTCCATATCCTTGTCTGTACATAATGCCCTGAATCTATTCTACAACGCCCGGAAATCTGCCCCCTTTATTCTCTGTACCCAACGCACTAGAAGACCAGTTCTTAAAGCCTTTAGCCGTATCCTTATTCTAGTCCTCCTCTGTTCCTCTGGTGATGTAGAGGTTAACCCAGGCCCTGCAGCCCCCAGTATCACTCCTACTCCCCAGGAGCTATCATTCGTTGACTTCTGTAACCGTAGAAGCCACCTCCCTAAGTTTGAGTTATTCACTGCGTTAGCACACTCCGCCAACCCTGATGTTCTAGCAGTGTCCTGGCTTAGGAAATGTCCATCCCCAACTACAACATTTTCTGTCTAGATAGAACTGCCAAAGGGGGTGGAGTTGCAATCTACTGTAGAGATAGCCTGCAGAGCTCTATCATACTATCCAGGTCTGTGCCCAAACAGTTTGAGCTCCTACTTCTAAAAATCCACCTTTCCAGAAATGTCTCTCACTGTTGCCGCTTGCTACAGACCCCCCTCAGCCCCCAGCTGTGCCCTGGACACCATATGTGAATTGATTGCCCACCCATCTATCCTCAGAGTTCGTACTGCTTGGTGACCTAAATTGGGGTATGCTTAACACCCCGGCCATCCTACAATCCAAACTAGATGCCCTCAATCTCACACAAATTATCAAGGAACCTACCAGGTACAACCCTAAATCCGTAAACAACCCTAAATCCGTAAACATGGGCACCCTTATAGATATCATCCTGACTAACTTACCCTCTAAATACACCTCCGCTGTCTTCAACCAGGATCTCAGCGATCACTGCCTTATTGTCTGCGTCCGTAACGGGTCCGCGGTCAAACGACCACCCCTCATTACTGTCAAACGCTCCCTAAAACACTTTAGCGAGCAGGCCTTCCTAATTGACCTGGCCCAGGTATCCTGGATGGATATCGATCTCATTCTGTCAGTAGAGGATACCTGGTTGTTCTTTAAAAGTGCTTTAATAAGCATGCCCCATTCAAAAAATTCAGAACTAAGAACAGATATAGCCCCTGGTTCTCCTCAGACTTGACTGCCCTTGACCAGCACAAAAACATCCTGTGGCGTACTGCATTAGCATCGAATAGCCCCCGCGATATGCAACTGTTCAGGGAAGTTAGGAACCAATATACACAAGCAGTTAGGAAAGCAAAGCAAAGGCTAGCTTTTTCAAACAGAAATTTGCATCCTGTAGCACTAACTCCAAAAAGTTTTGGGACACTGTAAAGTCCATGGAGAATAAGAGCACATCCTCCCAGCTGCCCACTGCACTGAGGCTAGGAAACACTATCACCACCGATAAATCTACAATAATCGAGAACCGCTTCTCCTTCACACAAATTCAGACAGCTGATGTTCTGAAAGAGCTGCAAAATCTGGACCCCTACAAATCATCTGGGCTGGACAATCTGGACCCTTTCTTTCTAAAATTAGCCGCCGAAATTGTCGCAACCCCTATTACTAGCCTGTTCAACATCTCTTTCGTAACGTCTGAGATCCCCAAAGATTGGAAAGCTGCCGCGGTCATCCCCCTCTTCAAAGGGGGTGACACTCTAGATCCAAACTGTTACAGACCTATATCCATCCTGCCCTGCCTTTCGAAAGTATTTGAAAGCCAATATAACAAACAGATCACCGACCATTTCGAATCCCACCGTACCTTCTACGCTATGCAATCCGGTTTCCGAGCTGGTCATGGGTGCACCTCAGCCACGCTCAAGGTCCTAAACGATATTATAACCGCGACCGATAATAGACAGTACTGTGCAGCCGTCTTCATCGACCTGGCCAAGGCTTTCGACTCTGTCAACCACCGCATTCTTATTGGCAGACTAAATAGCCTTGGTTTCTCAAATGACTGCCTCGCCTGGTTCACCAACTACTTCTCAGATAGAGTTCAATGTGTCAAATCGGAGGACCTGTTGTCTGGACCTCTGGCAGTCTCTATGGGGGTGCCACAGGGTTCAATTATTGGGCTGACTATTTTCTCTGTGTATATCAATGATGTCGCTATTGCTGCCGGTGATCCACCTCTACGCAGATGACACCATTTTGTATATATCTGGCCCTTCATTGGACACTGTGTTAACAAACCTCCAAACGAGCTTCAATGCCATACAACACTCCTTCTGTAGCCTCCAACTGCTCTTAAACACAAGTAAAACTAAATGCGTGCTCTTCAATCGAACGCTGCTGGCACCCGCCCACCCGACTAGAATCACTACTCTCGAAGGGTCTGACCTAGAGTATGTGGACAACTACAAATACCTAGGTGTCTGGTTAGACTGTAAACTCTCCTTCCAGACTGATATTAAGCATCTCCAATCCAAAGATAAATCTAGAATCGGCTTCCTATTTCCCAACAAAGCCTCCTTCACTCATGCTGCCAAACATGCCCTCGTAAAATTGACTATCCTACCGATCCTTGACTTTGGCGATGTAATTTACAAAATAGCCTCCAATACTCTACTCAGCAAATTGGATGTAGTCTATCACAGTGCCATCTGTTTTGTCACCAAAGCCCCATATACTACCCACCATTGTGACCTGTATGCTCTCGTTGGCTGGCCCTCACTACATATTTGTCGCCAAACCCACTGGCTCCAGGTCATCTATAAATCACTGCTAGGCAAATCTCTGCCTTATCTTAGCTCATTGGTCACCATAGCAACACCCACCTGTAGTATGCGCTCCAGCAGGTATATCTCACTGGTCATCCCCAAAGCCAACACCTCCTTTGGCCGCAATTCCTTCCAATTCTCTGCTGCCAATGACTGGAACGAACTGCAAAAATCTCTGAAGCTGGAGACTCTTATCTCCCTCACTAACTTTAAGCATCAGTTGTCAGAGCACCTTACCGATCACTGCACCTGTACACAGCCATTCTGAAATTAGCCCACCCAACTATCTCATCCCTATATTGTTATTTATTTTGCTCATTTGCACCCCAGTATCTCTATTTGCACATCATCTCTTGCACATCTATCATTCCAGTGTTGATACTAATTGTAATTATTTTTGCACTATGGCCTATTTATTGCCTTACCTCCATAACTTGCTACATTTGCACACACTGTATATATATTTGACTTTATGTTTTGTTTACCCCATATGTAACTCTGTGTTGTTGTTTTTATCGCACTGCTTTGCTTTATCTTGGCCAGGTCGCAGTTGTAAATGAGAACTTGTTCTCAACTGGCTTACCTGGTTAAATAAAGGTGAAATAAATAAATAAAAATTAAAAACTCATCCAGAACTCTTTGACTTCTGGCAGAATGCCATCAGATATCTTATAATGGCTAACATTTAGTAGTTGCTCAGTCCCCTCCTGTACTCCCTGTTCACCCATGACTGCATGGCCAGGCACGACTCCAACACCATCATTCAGTTTGCCAATGACACAACAGTGGTAGGCCTGATCACCGACAACGATGAGACAGCCTATAGGGAGGAGGTCAGAGACCTGGCCGTGTGGTGCCAGGATAACAACCTCTCCCTCAATGTGATCAAGAGAAAGGAGATGATTGTGGACTACAGGAAAAAGAAGAGGACCGAGCACGCCCCCATTCTCATCGACAGAGCTGTAGTGGAACAGGTTGAGAGCTTCAAGTTCCTTGGTGTCCACATCACCAACAAACTATCATGGTCCAACCACACAAAGACAGTTGTGAAGAGGGCACGACAAAGCCTATTCCCCTCAGGAGACTGAAAAGATTTGGCATGGGTCCTCAGATCCTCGAAAATTCTACAGCTGCACCATCGAGAGCATCCTGACTGGTTGCATCACCACCTGGTATGGCAACTGCTCGGCCTCCGACTGCAAGCACTACAGAGGGTAGTGCGTACGGCCCAGTACATCACTGGGGCCAAGCTTCCTGCCATCCAGGACCTCTATACCAGGCAGTGTCAGAGGAAGGCCCTAAAAATGGACAAAGACTCCAGCCACCCTAGTCATAGACTGTTCTCTCTGCTACTGCACGGCAAGCGGTACCTGAGCGCCAAGTCTAGGTCCAAAAGGCTCCTTAACAGCTTCTACCCCAAGCCATAAGACTCCTGAACAGCTAATCATGGCTACCCAGACTATTTGCATTGTTCCCCCCACCCCACCCCCCTCTTTTACGCTGCTGCTACTCTGTTTATTATCTATGCATAGTCACTTTAACTCTACCCACATGTACATATTACCTCAATTACCTCGACAAACCGGTGCCCCCGGACATTGACTCTGTACCGGTACCCCCTGTATATAGCCTCGCTATTGTTATTTTATTTTACTGCTGCTCTTTAATTATTTGTTATTTGTATTTTTTAGTAATCAATTTTTTACTTAACACTTATTTTTCTTAAAACTGCATTGTTGGTTAAGGGCTTGTAAGTAAGCATTTCACTGTAAGTATTCGGCGCATGTGACAAATACAATTTGATTTGATTGGAATTGCATAGAAGTATATAGAACACTATGGACTCACTGATAGATATAGAACACTATGGACTCACCAGCAGAGACTCACTGATATATATAGAACACTATGGACTCACTGATAGATATAGAACACTATGGACTCACCAGCAGAGACTCACTGATAGATATAGAACACTATGGACTCACTGATAGATATAGAACACTATGGACTCACTGATAGATATAGAACACTATGGACTCACTGATAGATATAGAACACTATGGACTCACTGATAGATATAGAACACTATGGACTCACTGATAGATATAGAACACTATGGACTCACTGATATATATAGAACGCTATGGACTCACTGATAGATATAGAACACTATGGACTCACTGATAGATATAGAACACTATGGACTCAGTGATAGATATAGAACACTATGGACTCACTGATAGATATAGAACACTATGGGACTCACTGATAGAATAAGAACACTATGGACTCACTGATAGATATAGAACACTATGGACTCACTGATAGATATAGAACACTATGGACTCACTGATAGATATAGAACACTATGGACTCACTGATAGATATAGAACACTATGGACTCACCAGCAGAGACTCACTGATAGATATAGAACACTATGGACTCACCAACAGAGACCACTGATAGATATAGAACACTATGGACTCACTGATAGATATAGAACACTATGGACTCACCAGCAGAGACTCACTGATAGATATAGAACACTATGGACTCACCAACAGAGACTCACTGATAGATATAGAACACTATGGACTCACTGATAGATATAGAACGCTATGGACTCACTGATAGATATAGAACACTATGGACACAGTGGTCCTCTGTAGCTCAGCTGGTAGAGCACGGCGCTTGTAACGCCAAGGTAGTGGGTTCGATCCCCGGGACCACCCATACACAAAAATGTATGCACGCATGACTGTAAGTCGCTTTGGATAAAAGCGTCTGCTAAATGGCATATTATTATTATTATAACACTATGGACTCACCAACAGAGACTCACTGATAGATATAGAACACTATGGACTCACCAACAGAGACTCACTGATAGATATAGAACACTATGGACTCACTGATAGATATAGAACACTATGGACTCACCAGCAGAGACTCACTGATAGATATAGAACACTATGGACTCACCAGCAGAGACTCACTGATAGATACAGAACACTATGGACTCACCAGCAGAGACTCACTGATAGATATAGAACACTATGGACTCACCAACAGAGACTCACTGATAGATATAGAACACTATGGACTCACTGATAGATATAGAACACTATGGACTCACTGATAGATATAGAACACTATGGACTCACCAGCAGAGACTCACTGATAGATACAGAACACTATGGACTCACCAGCAGAGACTCACTGATAGATATAGAACACTATGGACTCACTGATAGATATAGAAACACTATGGACTCACCAGCAGAGACTCACTGATAGATATAGAACACTATGGACTCACCAGCAGAGACTCACTGATAGATATAGAACACTATGGACTCACTGATAGATATAGAACACTATGGACTCACTGATAGATATAGACACTATGGACTCACTGAAGATATAGAACACTATGGCTACCAGCAGAACTCACTGATAGATATGAACACTTGGACTCACTGATAGATATAGAACACTATGGACCACGATAGATATAGAACCTATGGACTCTTTCCAGGACTCATGATAGATATAGAACCTTGGACTCACTGATAGATATAGAACACTATGGACTCACATAGCAGGATCACTGATAGATATAGAACACTATGGACTCACGATAGATATAGAACTATGGACTCACTGATAGATATAGAACACTATGGACTCACGAAATATAGACACTATGACTCACTGATAGATATAGAACACTTGGACTCACTGTAGATATAGAACACTGTGGACTCACTGATAGATATAGAACACTATGACTCACTGATAGATATGAACCTTGGACTCACTGATGATATAGAACACTATGGACTCACTGATAGATATAGACACTATGGACTCACTGATAGAATAGAACCTATGGACTCACTGATAGATATAGAACACTTGGACTCACTGATAATATGAACACTATGGACTCCTGATAATAGTCACTGATAGATGTATAGACACTATGGACTCACTGAGAAGATCCACTGATAGATAAGAACACTATGGACTCACTGATAATATAGAACACTATGGACTCACTGATAGATATAGACACTATGGACTCACTGATAGATATAGAACACTATGGACTCACTGATAGATATAGAACACTATGACTCACTGATAATATAACACTATGGACTCACTGATAGATATAGAACCTATGGACTCACTGATAGATATAGAACACTGGACTACTGATAGATAGAACACTGTGGACTCACTGATATATAGAACCTATGGACTCACAAGATATAGAACACTATGGACTCCTGATATATTAGACCTATGGACTCACTGATAGATATAGAACACTATGGACTCACTGATAGATATAGAACACTATGGACTCACTGATAGATAGAACACTATGGCCCACTGATAGATATAGAACTATGACTCACTGATAGATATAGAACCCCACTAGGCCACTATGATTGAACACTATGGCTCCCTGATATTGAACATTGTCCCTGATAGATATAGAACGATGGACTCACTGATAGATATAGAACACATGACTCCTGATGTCATAAACGCTGGTACCGTAATATAGAAACCATGACTCACTAGATACGATATAGAACACTATGGACTCCACTGATAGATATAGAACACTATGGACTCACTGATAGATACTAGAACGACTATGGACTCCTATTAACTTGCACTAGATTATATGGACCTGTGGACTCACTGATGATTGGAACACTATGGACTCAGCCAGTATAGACCTATGGACTCCTGATGATAAGAACCTATGGACTCACCAGCAGACTCACTGAAATGTAACACCTATGGACTCACTGATAGATATAGGAACCATCTAGACCTCACTGATAGATATAGAACACTATGGACTCACTGATAGATACAGAACACTATGGACTCACTGATAGATATAGAACACTATGGACTCACTGATAGATATAGAACACTATGGACTCACTGATAGATATAGAACACTATGGACTCACTGATAGATATAGAACACTATGGACTCACTGATAGATATAGAACACTATGGACTCACTGATAGATATAGAACACTATGGACTCACTGATAGATAAGAACACTATGGACTCACTGGATAGATGTAGAACACTTGGACTCACTGATAGATATAGAACACTATGGACTCACTGATAGATAAGAAACTATGGACTCACTGATAGATATAGAACACTATGGACTCACTGATAGATATAGAACACTATGGACTCACTGATAGATTATAGAACACTATGGACTCACGATATTAGACATAGGACTCACTGATAGATATAGAACACTATGGACTCACAGCAGAGACTCACTGAAGATATAGAACACTATGGACTCACCAGCATAGACTCACTGATAGATATAGAACACTATGGACTCACTGATAGATATAGAACACTATGGACTCACCAGCAGAGAACTCACTGATAGATATAGAACACTATGGACTCACCAGCAGAGACTCACTGATGATATAGACACCATGACTCACGATAATATAGAACACTATGGACTCACTGAGAATAGACTTCACTGATAGATATAGAACACTATGGACACGGTCACTGATAGATATAGAACACTATGGACTCACGCGATCAGATATAGTAAACACTATGGACTCACCACGATCAGATATAGTAAGTCACTATGGACTCACTGATAGATATAGAACACTATGGACTCACTGATAGATATAGACACTAGGACTCACTGATAGATATAGAACACTATGGACTCACCAACAGAGACTCACTGATAGAATACAGAAAACACTATGGACTCACTGATAGATATAGAAACACTATCATGGACTCACTGATAGATATAGAACACTATGGACATTCACTGATCGATATAGGAACCACTATGGACTCACTGATAGATATAGTACACTACTGGACTTCACTGATAGATATAGAAACACTATGGACTCACTGATAGATATAGAACACTATGGACTCACTGATAGATATAAGACCACTATGGACTCACTGATAGATATAGAACACTATGGACTCACTGATAGATATAGAAAACATGGACTCACCAGCAGAGACTCAACTGATAGATATAGAAACACTATGGACTCACTGATAGATATAGAAACACTATGGACTCACCAGCAGAGAACTCACTGATAGATATAGAACACTATGGACTCACCAGCAGACGACTCACTGATAGATATAGAACGCTATGGACTCACTGATAGATATAGGACACTATGGACTCACTGATAGATATAGAACACTATGGACTCACTGATAGATATAGAACACTATGGACTCACTGATAGATATAGAACACTATGGACTCACCTCAAGAAGGAACACTCATGGACTCACTGATAGATATAGAACACTATGGACTCACTGATAGATATAGAACCTATGGACTCGATCACTGATAGATATAGAACACTATGGACTCACTGATAGATATAGAACACTATGGACTCACTGATAGAATATAGACACTATGGACTCACTGATAGATATAGAACACTATGGACTCACTGAGAGACTCACTGATAATAGAACACTATGGACTCCCCTGATAGATATAGAACACTATGGACTCACTGATAGATATAGAACACTATGGACTCACGATAGATATAGAACATGGTGGACTCACTGATAGATATAGAACACTATGGACTCACCAGCAGAGACTCACTGATAGATATAGAACACTATGGACTCACCAGCAGAGACTCACTGATAGATATAGAACGCTATGGACTCACTGATAGATATAGGACACTATGGACTCACTGATAGATATAGAACACTATGGACTCACTGATAGATATAGAACACTATGGACTCACTGATAGATATAGAACACTATGGACTCACTGATAGATATAGTACACTATGGACTCACTGATAGATATAGAACACTATGGACTCACTGATAGATATAGGACACTATGGACTCACTGATAGATATAGAACACTATGGACTCACTGATAGATATAGAACACTATGGACTCACTGATAGATATAGAACACTATGGACTCACTGATAGATATAGAACACTATGGACTCACTGATAGATATAGAACACTATGGACTCACTGATAGATATAGGACACTATGGACTCACTGATAGATATAGAACGCTATGGACTCACTGATAGATATAGAACACTATGGACTCACTGATAGATATAGAACACTATGGACTCACCAGCAGAGACTCACTGATAGATATAGAACACTATGGACTCACCAGCAGAGACTCACTGATAGATACAGAACACTATGGACTCACTGATATATATAGAACACTATGGACTCACTGATAGATATAGACCACTATGGACTCACTGATAGATATAGAACACTATGGACTCACTGATAGATATAGAACACTATGGACTCACTGATAGATATAGAACACTATGGACTCACTGATAGATATAGAACACTATGGACTCACTGATAGATATAGAACACTATGGACTCACTGATAGATATAGAACACTGTGGACTCACTGATAGATATAGAACGCTATGGACTCACTGATAGATATAGAACACTATGGACTCACTGATAGATATAGAACGCTATGGACTCACTGATAGATATAGAACACTATGGACTCACTGATAGATATAGAACACTATGGACTCACTGATAGATATAGAACACTATGGACTCACTGATAGATATAGAACGCTATGGACTCACTGATAGATATATCTGATCAGTCCCTACACCCAAACGAGGGCATTGCGCTCATCCACCTCTGGCCTGCTGGCTCCCCTTCCTCTGCGGAAGCATAGTTCCCGCTCAGCCCAGTCAAAACTGTTCGCTGCTCTGGCACCCCAATGGTGGAACAAGCTCCCTCACGACGCCAGGACAGCGGAGTCACTCACCACCTTCCGGAGACATTTGAAACCCCACCTCTTTAAGGAATACCTGGGATAGGATAAAGGAATCCTTCTACCCCCCCCCCCCCCCCCCCCCCCCCTGATAGATATAGAACACTATGGACTCACTGATAGATACAGAACACTATGGACTCACTGATAGATATAGAACACTATGGACTCACTGATAGATATAGAACACTATGGACTCACTGATAGATATAGAACACTATGGACTCACTGATAGATATAGAACACTATGGACTCACTGATAGATATAGAACACTATGGACTCACTGATAGATATAGAACACTATGGATTCACTGATAGATATAGAACACTATGGACTCACTGATAGATGTAGAACACTGTGGACTCACTGATAGATATAGAACACTATGGACTCACTGATAGATACAGAAGACTATGGACTCACTGATAGATATAGAACACTATGGACTCACCAGCAGAGACTCACTGATAGATATAGAACACTATGGACTCACTGATAGATATAGAACACTATGGACTCACTGATAGATATAGAACACTATGGACTCACTGATAGATATAGAACACTATGGACTCACCAGCAGAGACTCACTGATAGATATAGAACACTATGGACTCACTGATAGATATAGTACACTATGGACTCACTGATAGATATAGAACACTATGGACTCACTGATAGATATAGGACACTATGGACTCACTGATAGATATAGAACACTATGGACTCACTGAAAGATATATAGAACACTATGGACTCACCAGCAGAGACTCACTGATAGATATAGAACACCATGGACTCACTGATAGATATAGAACACTATGGACTCACCAGCAGAGACTCACTGATAGATATAGAACACTATGGACTCACCAGCAGAGACTCACTGATAGATATAGAACACTATGGACTCACCAGCAGAGACTCACTGATAGATATAGAACACTATGGACTCACCAGCAGAGACTCACTGATAGATATAGATCACTATGGACTCACTGATAGATATAGAACACTATGGACTCACTGATAGATATAGTACACTATGGACTCACTGATAGATATAGAACACTATGGACTCACTGATAGATATAGAACACTATGGACTCACTGATAGATATAGAACACTATGGACTCACTGATAGATATAGTACACTATGGACTCACTGATAGATATAGAACACTATGGACTCACTGATAGATATAGGACACTATGGACTCACTGATAGATATAGAACACTATGGACTCACCAGCAGAGACTCACTGATAGATACAGAACACTATGGACTCACTGATAGATATAGAACACTACTGATTCACTGATAGATATAGAACACTATGGACTCACTGATAGATATAGAACACTATGGACTCACTGATAGATATAAGACACTATGGACTCACTGATAGATATAGAACACTATGGACTCACTGATAGATATAGAACACTATGGACTCACCAGCAGAGACTCACTGATAGATATAGAACACTATGGACTCACTGATAGATATAGAACACTATGGACTCACCAGCAGAGACTCACTGATAGATATAGAACACTATGGACTCACCAGCAGAGACTCACTGATAGATATAGAACGCTATGGACTCACTGATAGATATAGGACACTATGGACTCACTGATAGATATAGAACACTATGGACTCACTGATAGATATAGAACACTATGGACTCACTGATAGATATAGAACACTATGGACTCACTGATAGATATAGAACACTATGGACTCACTGATAGATATAGAACACTATGGACTCTCCAGCAGAGACTCACTGATAGATATAGAACACTATGGACTCACCAGCAGAGACTCACTGATAGATATAGAACACTATGGACTCACTGATAGATATAGAACACTATGGACTCACTGATAGATATAGAACACTATGGACTCACCAGCAGAGACTCACTGATAGATATAGAACACTATGGACTCACTGATAGATATAGAACACTATGGACTCACTGATAGATATAGAACACTATGGACTCACTGATAGATATAGAACACTATGGACTCACTGATAGATATAGGACACTATGGACTCACTGATAGATATAGAACACTATGGACTCACTGATAGATATAGAACACTATGGACTCACTGATAGATATAGAACGATATGGACTCACTGATAGATATAGAACACTATGGACTCACTGATAGATATAGAACACTATGGACTCACTGATAGATACAGAACACTATGGACTCACTGATAGATATAGAACACTATGGACTCTCTGATAGATATAGAACACTATGGACTCACTGATAGATATAGAACGCTATGGACTCACTGATAGATATAGCACACTATGGACTCACTGATAGATATAGAACACTATGGACTCACTGATAGATATAGAACACTATGGACTCACTGATAGATATAGAACACTATGGACTCACTGATAGATATAGAACACTATGGACTCACTGATAGATATAGAACACTATGGACTCACCAGCAGAGACTCACTGATAGATATAGAACACGATGGACTCACTGATAGATATAGAACACTATGGACTCACTGATAGATATAGAACACTATGGACTCACTGATAGATATAGAACACTATGGACTCACTGATAGATATAGGACACTATGGACTCACTGATAGATATAGAACACTATGGACTCACTGATAGATATAGGACACTATGGACTCACTGATAGATATAGAACACTATGGACTCACTGATAGATATAGAACACTATGGACTCACTGATAGATATAGAACACTATGGACTCACTGATAGATATAGAACACTATGGACTCACTCATAGATATAGAACACTATGGACTCACTGATAGATATAGAACACTATGGACTCACTCGCTTTCTCCTGTTGTGCCATTTACAAACACATGACTGGCTCAACTGTTCTGGGGAACTACGGTGAGCTTCATAATGTAAATGTGACCAAATGTAATGTGACCAGTGAAATGAAGAACACAATCTGCTTTACCTCCTAACATATTGCACAAGTTGACTGCAGGTGTTAACTTCAAAAGTAGTTGATAATATTGAAAAATCATCCTGTGTCTTTTCCCAAATACCCTGGTATATGGTATACAGCCCAAGCCGATAAAACACGTGAATTCCCTCTGCATATAGTGGGATCAGCATTTTAGCATAAAAAATTCCAGGTCGGGAGAACAGTTTTCAACTTCGGTACATCAGGAAATGTTGATGAGGAAACATCCCCCCCCCCCCCCCCCCCACGCTTTCCAGAAGCCGCCGTTCGATCCAAAAGCCGTCTGGTTGAATAGCAGAGTCAAGTGTTTCGTCCGTAAGCCATGTCTCTGTAAACACAAAGACAGCATTCCCTGATGTCCCTCTGCGATTGAAGCCTTGCTCCGAGTTCACAAAGTTTTCCAGCGATTGGACATTACATTTACATTTACACTTACGTCATTTAGCAGACGCTCTTATCCAGAGCGACTTACAAATTGGTGCATTCACCCTATAACCAGTGGGATAACCACTTTACAATTTTTATTTTAATTTTAAGAGGGGGGTGGGGGGGGGGGGGGGGTAGAAGGATTACTTTATCCTATCCCAGGTATTCCTTAAAGAGGTGGGGTTTCAAATGTCTCCGGAAGGTGGTGAGCGACTCCGCTGTCCTGGCGTCGTGAGGGAGCCTGTTCCACCATTGGGGTGCCAGAGCAGCGAACAGTTTTGACTGGGCTGAGCGGGAACTATGCTTCCGCAGAGGAAGGGGAGCCAGCAGGCCAGAGGTGGATGAACGCAATGCCCTCGTTTGGGTGTAGGGACTGATCAGAGCCTGAAGGTACGGAGGTGCCGTTCCCCTCACAGCTCCATAGGCAAGCACCATGGTCTTGTAACAGATGCGAGCTTCAACTGGAAGCCAGTGGAGTGTGCGGAGGAGCGGGGTGACGTGAGAGAACTTGGGAAGGTTGAACACCATTAGCCATCAGGATCTTTTTCCGTCTTTTCAGCCTGGAGTCCCCCTTCCTGTTCTTTGTCGCTGGCGTTGCCTTCGGTCATCATGGTCGGTCGGTTGACTCTTATGACACCAAAAATGTCTCTGAGAACAAAAACAGCTCAACCCTGGAATGTAAATGGAATGTTGAGGAATAGTTGTTCAGAACCAGAACTGGTTACCAGGGTTACAGAAGACGCTAGCTTGGAATTTCAAACCAAACATTTTATGTATTTCAGCTCATCCTGAAGCTAAACTACAACGACGTGTTTGAAGAAGATATTGGACTATTTCAACCTCAAAGTGAGTATCTATGCATTGCATCTCTGAGACCTAGTTTGACGCCTTGTTTTTCCTCTGTTTTTAAACATACAAAAAACACGCACTACTTTAAGCCACCGTGTTGGAAGATAACCTCCATTTTATTTCCACATGCAGATATACCTAATTATTTAGCAGCAGCCTATTGTCTTCAGTGTAGTTGTCAATTCCTTGATCAATCTCAGGTGAAGAGAAGACTTTACTACAATGGCGTCATCAGCAGGTATCCCCAAGGATCTCTCCTAGCTGTATGAGAGGCTGATCTCCAAGCTGGCAGACAAAGTCTTCCGTGATGTCTGGAGCATCGCAGGCGTCGTCGTTGTTTCTCATCTGTACCGTCACCATAACTCTGAGCCTGGCTCTGAACAGCCAGCAAGAGACAGCAGAGTCCACATGAAAGTAGATCCAGCCTCGTCTAAAGAACCAGACAGTGACAGCCCCAAACCTCCAGTCAAAACAGAGGTAGGACCTGAAAATGATTCAGAGATAACACTCCTAGTAGAAGAATCTCTTCTGCAGAAAGCCCAGAAGTCGAACGTCAAAGTTGGGAGGGCGAGAACTCAGTCCAAAGACACCAAACCCCAGACCAGAAACTCATTCAAGAAACATGTTCTATTATTTACCGATTATGAATCCCCTGTTTCTGATATTATTACTTTTGTTATTGTGCTGATGAGGATGTAGATAAACTAAAATATGAAAAACCACAGGAAGATTTTCATTTTATTTTTCACAACATTGAAATGAAGTAACATGATAATGTACTGCAGCCCTACAAGTGGCATTGTTAATTTGTTGTATCTGAAAGAGGATGGTCATTCAGTCTTAACTTTGATGATCAGAGTCCTGGGGAGATCTGTTTTGATGATCAAAGTCCTAGGGATCTGTCGTCTGAGGACTGAGTGGATCGCAGACTGGTGTCTGATCACCTGTAATATGAAGAAGCAGGATCAACTCACCAGAATGCAGTTCTTTACCTTCAGCACAGGTTTAGATCACTTATTCGATATATTGAGCACCATCACTATCTTACCTTCCCCTTCTGTGCTTGTGACACTAGGTGTGTCTGACGTGGATGTGGCCCGCTCAACATGTTCTTGATGGCTCTCTGGACTTCCTGATTCAACATGTTCTTGATGGCTCTCTGGACTTCCTGATTCAACATGTTCTTGATGGCTCTCTGGACTTCCTGATTCAACATGTTCTTGATGGCTCTCTGGACTTCCTGATTCAACATGTTCTTGATGGCTCTCTGGACTTCCTGATTCAACATGTTCTGTCATTTCTGCAGTTGTACAACCTGATTTGTCTGAAGCCATGAGATCTGCAAAACTATCCTGCTGTTTTCCTGAAAGAAAACATTTGACATGTTTACTGTTGAAAAGGTTGTTCCTTGTTTATCAGTCTTGACATGGTTCATGGAGCCAGATAGACCAGTGGGGATTCAACACTACACTGGCACCTAACAGCTCTCCTGTAGTGGCCCTGTTTTTCATGGTCCTTCTAGTCGGATAGATCTATACTGAAAGAAAATAGAAACGCTACATGCAACAATTTCAAAGATTTTGCTGAGTTACAATTCATATAAGGTAATCACTCAATTGAAATAAATAAATTAGGCCGTAATCTATGGATTTCACATGACTGGGCAGGGGCGCAGCCATTGGTGGGCCTGGGAGGGCATAGGCCCACCCACTTGGGAGCCAAGCCAACCCACTGGGGAGCCAGGCCCAGCCAATGGGGAGCCAGGCCCAGCCAATGGGGAGCCAAGCCAACCCAATGGGGAGCCAGGCCCAGCCAATGGGGAGCCAGGCCAACCCACTGGGGAGCCAGGCCCAGCCAATGGGGAGCCAAGCCAACCCAATGGGGAGCCAGGCCCAGCCAATGGGGAGCCAAGCCAACCCAATGGGGAGCCAGGCCCAGCCAATGGGGAGCCAAGCCAACCCACTGGGGAGCCAGGCCCAGCCAATCAGAATGAGTTTTTCCCCACAAAAGGGCTTTATTACAGACAGAAATACTCATCCTCTGGCAAAGGAGAAATGCTCATTAACACTAACAGGGATGAACACATTTCTGCTAAAACAATTAAGAGAAATAAGCTTTTTGTGTGTATGGAACATTTCTGGGATCTTTTATTTCAGCTCATAAAACACGGGACCAACACTTTACATGTTGCGTTTTATATTTTTGTTCAGTGTAGTTACTGAACTGCGATTGGTTACCTAGCGGTGTGGGATCCATTTTCCCATTGCTGGTCAGGTCTCTGTCTGAGGTGATGTCACCAAACAGGAAGTGTATCTTCTCCTGGGCATGCTCCTGATTGGAGGAGCCGTGGAGGGCGTTGTGGAGGATGTCTGAGGCGAAGCGGGCCCTCAGGGATCCCGGGGCCGTCACCTTGGCCAGGACAGGGTCTGTGGGGCCCATCATGGACCTCCACTCCTCCACAGTATTTTCCTTGGTCAGCACCAGCAGCATGCAGGGGCCGCTACAGAGACAGGGAGAGAATGTGGGGTTTTAGATTCTTCATCTTCTTCATCTTCTTCCCTGAGCATTACTAACGGTTCCTGTTAAAAGAGGGTGGTGACAATTACAATCGAAGCACATGTTCAGATGATGCTGCATGAGACTGACAGCACAGGAAGCTTCTGACATTACAGTCTCCATCTGCACCCAGAGCCATAGGCCTGCCCATCTCTAGGTCTGTCTCTGTCTTTACCCAGAGCCATAGGCCTGCCCATCTCTAGGTCTGTCTCCATCTTTACCCAGAGCCATAGGCCTGCCCATCTCTAGGTCTGTCTCTGTCTTTACCCAGAGCCATAGGCCTGCCCATCTCTAGGTCTGTCTCTGTCTTTACCCAGAGCCATAGGCCTGCCCATCTCTAGGTCTGTCTCTGTCTTTACCCAGAGCCATAGGCCTGCCCATCTCTAGGTCTGTCTCTGTCTTTACCCAGAGCCATAGGCCTGCCCATCTCTAGGTCTGTCTCTGTCTACCCAGAGCCATAGGCCTGCCCATCTCTAGGTCTGTCTCTGTCTTTACCCAGAGCCATAGGCCTGCCCATCTCTAGGTCTGTCTCTGTCTTTACCCAGAGCCATAGGCCTGCCCATCTCTAGGTCTGTCTCTGTCTTTACCCAGAGCCATAGGCCTGCCCATCTCTAGGTCTGTCTCTGTCTTTACCCAGAGCCATAGGCCTGCCCATCTCTAGGTCTGTCTCTGTCTTTACCCAGAGCCATAGGCCTGCATATCTCTAGGTCTGTCTCTGTCTTTACCCAGAGCCATAGGCCTGCCCATCTCTAGGTCTGTCTCTGTCTTTACCCAGAGCCATAGGCCTGCCCATCTCTAGGTCTGTCTCTGTCTGCACTGTCTTTCTGTTTGCTGTGTAATTTGTATTTGTATTTATTATGGATCCCCAATCACAGTTCTACTCTTCCTGGGGTCCTGCAAAATTAAGGCAGTTCATACAATTTTAAAAACATTACAATACATTCACAGATTTCACAACACACTGTGTGCCCTCAGGCCCCTACTCCACCACTACCACATATCTACAATACATAATCCATGTGTACCTTGTGTGTATAGTGTGTATGTTATATTGTGTGTGTGTTTGCATGTGTCTGTGTCTATGTTTGTGTTGCTTCACAGTCCCCGCTGTTCCATAAGGTGTATTTATATCTGTAAAAAAAAAAAAAGGATTCTACTGCTTGCATCAGTTACATGATGTGGAATGGAGTTCCATGTAGTCATGGCTCTATGTAGTACTGTGCGCCTCCCATAGTCTGTTCTGGACTTGGGGACTGTGAAGAGACCTCTGGTGGCATGTCTTGTGGGGTATGCATGGGTGTCCGGGCTGTGAGCCAGTAGTTCAAACAGACAGCTCAGTGCACCCAACATGTCAACACCTCTCATAAACACAAGTAGTGATGAAGTCAATCTCTCCTCCACTTTGAGCCAGGAGAGATCGACATGCATATTATTAATATTAGCTCTCTGTGTACATCCAAGGGCCAGCCATGCTGCCCTGTTCTGAGCCAATTGCAATTTTCCTAAGTCCTTTTTTGTGGCACCTGACCACACGACTGAACAGTAGTCTAGGTGTGACAAAACTAGGGCCTGTAAGACCTGCCTTGTTGATAGTGCTGTTAAGAAGGTAGAGCAGCACTTTATTATGGACATACTTCTCCCCATCTTAGCTACTGTATCAATATGTTTTGACCATGACAGTTTACAATCCAGGGTTACTCCAAGCAGTTTAGTCACCTCAACTTGCTCAATTTCCACAGTATTTATTACAAGATGTAGTTGAGGTTTAGGGTTTAGTGAATGATTTGTCCCAAATACAATGCTTTTAGTTTTGGAAATATTTAGGACTAACTTATTCCTTGCCACCCATTCTGAAACTAACTGCAACTCTTTAAGTGTTACAGTCATTTCAGTTGCTGTAGTAGCTGACGTGTATAGTGTTGAGTCATCCGCATACATAGACACACTGGCTTTACTCAAAGCCAGTGGCATGTCGTTAGTAAAGATTGAAAAAAGTAATGGGCCTAGACAGCTGCCCTGGGGAATTCCTGATTCTACCTGGATTATGTTGGAGAGGCTTCCATTAAAGAACACCCTCTGTGTTCTGTTAGACAAGTAACTCTTTATCCACAATATAGCAGGGGGTGTAAAGCCATAACACATACGTTTTTCCAGCAGCAGACTATGATCGATAATGTCAAAATCCGCACTGAAGTCTAACAAAACAGCCCCCACAATCTTTTTATCATCAATTTCTCTCAGCCAATCATCAGTCATTTGTGTAAGTGCTGTGCTTGTTGAATGTCCTTCTCTATAAGCATGCTGAAAGTTTGTTGTCAATTTGTTTACTGTAAAATAGCATTGTATCTGGTCAAACACATTTTTTTCCAATAGCTTACTAAGTGTTGATAACAGGCTAATTGGTGCTCCAAAGCTTTTGACTATCATTCTTTATGTCATTTGTAATAAATCAATGGAGGAGCTCATCTGAGAGGAAGACATGTCTAAATTCTACATGTACAGTACTTTGGCTGAAGATCCTGGCTTGAGTTTGCATGAAGATTTGTGCTAAAAGGTCAACTGCAGCAGCTTTAGAAACAAGCCATGGTTGTGAGTGAGGTCATCTTGGCTCCAGCACTGACCCAGAGATGACCTCCAACACTAACCCAGAGCTGACCTCTAACCCAGAGCTGACCTCTAACCCAGAGCTGACCTCTAACCCAGAGCTGATCTCTAACCCAGAGCTGACCTCCAACACTAACCCAGAGCTGATCTCTAACCCAGAGCTGATCTCTAACCCAGAGCTGACCTCTAACCCAGAGCTGACCTCTAACCCAGAGCTGATCTCTAACCCAGAGCTGACCTCCAACACTAACCCAGAGCTGATCTCTAACCCAGAGCTGATCTCTAACCCAGAGCTGATCTCTAACCCAGAGCTGACCTCTAACCCAGAGCTGATCTCTAACCCAGAGTTGACCTCTAACCCAGAGCTGACCTCTAACCCAGAGCTGACCTCCAACACTAACCCAGAGCTGACCTCTAACCCAGAGCTGATCTCTAACCCAGAGCTGATCTCTAACCCAGAGCTGACCTCTAACCCAGAGCTGACCTCTAACCCAGAGCTGACCTCTAACCCAGAGCTGACCTCTAACCCAGAGCTGACCTCTAACCCAGAGATGACCTCTAACCCAGAGCTGACCTCTAACCCAGAGCTGACCTCCAACACTAACACAGAGCTGACCTCTAACCCAGAGCTGATCTCTAACCCAGAGATGACCTCTAACCCAGAGCTGACCTCTAACCCAGAGATGACCTCTAACCCAGAGCTGACCTCTAACCCAGAGCTGACCTCTAACCCAGAGCTGACCTCTAACCCAGAGCTGACCTCTAACCCAGAGCTGACCTCTAACACTAACCCAGAGCTGATCTCTAACCCAGAGCTGATCTCTAACCCAGAGCTGATCTCTAACCCAGAGCTGACCTCTAACCCAGAGCTGATCTCTAACCCAGAGTTGACCTCTAACCCAGAGCTGACCTCTAACCCAGAGCTGACCTCCAACACTAACCCAGAGCTGACCTCTAACCCAGAGCTGATCTCTAACCCAGAGCTGATCTCTAACCCAGAGCTGACCTCTAACCCAGAGCTGACCTCTAACCCAGAGCTGACCTCTAACCCAGAGCTGACCTCTAACCCAGAGATGACCTCTAACCCAGAGCTGACCTCTAACCCAGAGCTGACCTCCAACACTAACACAGAGCTGACCTCTAACCCAGAGCTGATCTCTAACCCAGAGATGACCTCTAACCCAGAGCTGACCTCTAACCCAGAGCTGACCTCTAACCCAGAGCTGACCTCTAACCCAGAGCTGACCTCTAACCCAGAGCTGACCTCTAACCCAGAGCTGACCTCTAACCCAGAGCTGACCTCTAACCCAGAGCTGACCTCTAACCCAGAGCTGACCTCCAGCACTAACCCAGAGCTGATCTCTAACCCAGAGCTGACCTCTAACCCAGAGCTGACCTCCAACACTAACCCAGAGCTGACCTCTAACCCAGAGCTGACCTCTAACCCAGAGCTGACCTCTAACCCAGAGCTGACCTCTAACCCAGAGCTGACCTCCAACACTAACCCAGAGCTGACCTCTAACCCAGAGCTGATCTCTAACCCAGAGTTGACCTCTAACCCAGAGCTGACCTCTAACCCAGAGCTGACCTCCAACACTAACCCAGAGCTGACCTCTAACCCAGAGCTGATCTCTAACCCAGAGCTGACCTCCAACCCAGAGCTGACCTCCAACACTAACCCAGAGCTGACCTCTAACCCAGAGCTGATCTCTAACCCAGAGCTGATCTCTAACCCAGAGCTGACCTCTAACCCAGAGCTGATCTCTAACCCAGAGCTGACCTCTAACCCAGAGCTGATCTCTAACCCAGAGCTGACCTCTAACCCAGAGCTGACCTCTAACCCAGAGCTGACCTCCAGCACTAACCCAGAGCTGACCTCTAACCCAGAGCTGACCTCTAACCCAGAGCTGATCTCTAACCCAGAGCTGACCTCCAACACTAACCCAGAGCTGACCTCTAACCCATAGCCAGATAGATAGGATTCTACCTGCACATGAAGTCAACCAGCTGTCTGTAGAAAGGTTTGTCTCTGTGCTCTCTGTAGAGCTCCTCAGCCATGTCTCTGGACAACACCGCCTCCTTCAGCTGGGAGATAGAGAAACCTGCAGCACGGATCTCCCCCAGGATCTCCTCTGAGAGGGGGAGGAAGGGAGGTTGAGTAGAGAGTACATGTGCTCACTTTATACCCTGCTGTACAACTGACTAAGGACCGGTTTGGATAACGGGTACATAGTTAATGAATTTACAGCATATTATGTATTGATTGATTGACTGATTTAGAGAATGTACCTCTATGTTCGGCCATGGCATCAGGCTTAATGATGGCCAGAGTCTGCTGTTTAGGGAAGAAGAAGTGGATCTCCTCCTCTGCCTCCTCCCTGCTGGCACTGCCATGGAGCTGGTTCATCTGGTCCTCCTCACTGGCCACTATGAACTGGGCCCTGAGGCTGAGGGGACAGCGAGAGAGAACAGTGAGAGAGAACAGTGAGAGAGAACAGTGAGAGAGAACAGTGAGAGAGAACAGTGAGAGAGAACAGTGAGAGAGAACAGTGAGAGAGAACAGTGAGCGAGAACAGTGAGCGAGAACAGTGAGAGAGAACAGTGAGAGAGAACAGTGAGAGAGAACAGTGAGAGAGAACAGTGAGAGAGAACAGCGAGAGAGAACAGCGAGAGAGAACAGCGAGAGAGAACAGCGAGAGAGAACAGCGAGAGAGAACAGTGAGAGAGAACAGTGAGAGAGGCACTACAAAGGAGAGGGGACACAGGCAATGTTTTCAACACAGTATCACATTTAGGGAAACAAGGTTATAATGGTTGAAAAGTGTTTTCTTGTCCAGGGACATGTCTCAAATGGTACCCTGTTCCGTTCTGTAGACACTGAGTGTATAAAACATTCAGAACAGTTGCACCCTTCCCATTTGCCCTCAGAACAGTTGCACCCTTCCCTTTCGCCCTCAGAACAGCCTCAATTCGTTGGGGCATGGACTCTACAAGGTGTCGAAAGTGCTGGCCCATGTTGACTCTAGGGCTGACCCCATTAGTCGACCTCTAAAGCTGACCCCATTAGTCGACCTCTAGGGCTGACCCCATTAGTCGACCTCTAGGGCTGACCCCATTAGTCGACTGGTCGATTGTTTGGTCGATAGGCTGTTGGTAGACCAATATCTTTTTAGTTGAGCAGTGGCAAATATATTTAAAAACATATTATGGCACATGAGACAGCTGTCTGATCCACGTCTGTCTTAGTAGACTAATAGATTGTGGAGGAACACCAGTATCCCCAGTAGTAGTATATTTACTGTTAATTACCATCATTTATCATCTACAATGTTTGTTTTAAATTACTGTCATTTCTGTTTATGCATTGAATATATTATTATTATTAGTCTGACCGTTGTCATGGACACGTTGTTGGCAGAGCGCACAATCTAGGCTACACAGTTTTGGTTTATTTCATTATATTTACAAGTTCTCAACTGATTCATTGTCTTTTGTTTGGAGCGCTCCTTGTCAATCTTGAGTAAGGACACGCACCTGATTACGCATAGAAGTAGGCTACCTGGCCTGTGTGATAATGTAGGCTTATAAATGTGCCCAATTGAGGATCTGATACTATTTCTGATTGTCTTAACTCGCCATCACTGTGGAGCTTCTCAAAGTAATTTTTTCTTCACCTCAAACAGCAAGTAAACAAAGTCTGTTTTTACATCCATTGAGAATAATAGTTCCTTAGCGTAGCCTATTGGAAAAAATGTTCCAGGTACTTTCCCTTTCGATAACCAATCAGCATGAAAAGGGAAAATAATGTCACGCTCTGATCTAGTGGAAACGTCATAAAAAAGGCCTACCTGATTACTTCTTATCCTTGTGCAAATAGCCTACAGCTGTGTCTGTCTGTCCAGAGCTCACTGGCACAGGAAACTCTGAGGGCCCAGAATATGTTGTACAATGTTGCAAGGTTGCTAGCATGAGCTTGGGCCGGACAAAGGTAATAGTTTTAAGTTCCTTGCAGACAGGCCATGCGTAGCCAATGTGATTTACTTATAGGATATTCATTTTTTATCAGGATATTTTCTACCTGCAGGTTGCAATGTTTTTTATTTGTTGGATTTGTATCATTTTCATTTCTATGTAATTTTTATTAACCACGACATTGATTTTAAGATATGAAGACTTTATTATAAATTAAATTAAACTGTTCCACGAAAACGTGCATATGAAAATCATAATTGGTACGCAGATCAGTAGAAATGTTACGATAACTTGGCACTCCAAACGGAAAAGGTTTCCGACCGCTGGTGTAGCCTATTACCGGCAACTTCAGGAGCGTAACGGCCGAATCTGCAACGACCAGAAGCAGCGTGAGGAGGGTCGGGAGGAGGAGGGTCGGGAGGAGGAGGGTCGGGAGGAGGAGGGCCGGGAGGAGGAGGGTCGGGAGGAGGAGGAGGGCCGGGAGGAGGGGGGCCGGGAGGAGGAGGGTCGGGAGGAGGAGGGTCGGGAGGAGGAGGGTCGGGAGGAGAGTCGGGAGGAGGGTCGTCGGGAGGAAGGGGGTCGGGAGGAGGAAGGCCGGGAGGAGGAGGGTCGGGAGGAGGGGGGTCGGGAGGAGAGTTGGGAGGAGGGTCGTCGGGAGGAAGAGGGCCGGGAGGAGGAGGGCCGGGAGGAGGAGGGTCGGGAGGAGGAGGGTCGGGAACAGGTTTTTTTTCTTCTGGTTAGGCTATTTTGATCTCTGGCTCACTCTTTAGTAATTTGTGTGTCTTCATTTTTAATCGCAGTGCTTAAAAGCAATAGACAAGCTCAGTAGCGTACATACATTGCCTTGCAAAAGTATTCATCCCCCTTGGCGTTTTTCCTATTTTGTTGCATTACAACCTGTAATTGAAATTGATTTTTATTTGGATTTCATGTGATGGATATACACAAAATAGTCCAAATTGGTGAAGTGAAATGAAAAAAATAACTTGTTTCAAAAAATTCTACAAAATAAATAACGGAAAAGTGGTGCGTGCATATGTATTCACCCCCTTTGCTATGAAGCCCTTAAATAAGATCTGGTGCAACCAATTACCTTCAGAAGTCACATAATTAGTTAAATAAAGTTCACCTGTGTGCAATCTAAGTGTCACATGATCTCAGTATATATACTTCTGTTCTGAAAGGCCCCAGAGTCTGCAACACCCATAAGCAAGGGGCACCACCAAGCAAGTGGCACCATGAAGACCAAGGAGCTCTCCAAACAGGTCAGGGACAAAGTTGTGGAGGAGTACAGATCAGGGTTGGGTTATAAAAAAAATATCCGAAACGTTGAACATCCCACGGAGCACCATTTTTTAAAAATCCATTATTAAAAAATGGAAATTATATTGCACCACAACAAACCTGCCAAGAGAGGGCCGCCCACCAAAACTCACGGACCAGGCAAGGAGGGCATTAATCAGAGAGGCAACAAAGAGACCAAAGATAATCCTGAAGGAGCTGCAAAGCTCTACAGCGGAGATTGGAGTATCTGTCCATAGGACCACTTTAAGCCGTACACTCCACAGAGCTGGGCTTTACGGAAGAGTGGCCAGAAAAAAGCCATTGCTTAAAGAAAGAAATAAGCAAACATGTTTGGTGTTCGCCAAAAGGCATGTGGGAGACTCCCCAAACATATGGAAGAAGGTACCCTGGTCAGATGAGACTAAAATTGAGCTTTTTGACAATCAAGGAAAATGCTATGTCTGGCGCAAACCCAATACCTCTCATCACCCCGAGAACACAATCCCCACAGTGAAGCATGGTGGTGGCAGCATCATGCTGTGGGATGTTTTTCATCGGCAGGGACTGGGAAACTGGTCAGAATTGAAGGAATTATGGATGGCGCTAAATACAGGGAAATTCTTGAGGGAAACCTGTTTCAGTCTTCCAGAGATTTGAGACTGGGACGGAGGTTCACCTTCCAGCAGGACGATGACCCTAAGCATACTGCTAAAGCAACACTCAAGTGGTTTAAGGGGAAACATTGAAATGTATTTGAATTGCCTAGTCAAAGCCCAGACCTCAATCCAATTGAGAATCTGTGGTATGACTTAAAGATTGCTGTACACCAGCGGAACCCATCCAACTTGAAGGAGCTGGAGCAGTTTTGCCTTGAAGAATGGGCAGAAATCCCAGTGGCTAAATGTGCCAAGCTTATAGAGACATACCCCAAGAGACTTGCAGCTGTAATTGCTGCAAAAGATGGCTCTACAAAGTATTGACTTTGGGGGGGTGAATAGTTATGCACGCTCAAATTGTCTGTTTTATTGTCTTATTTCTTGTTTGTTTCACCCCAAAAAATATTTAGCATCTTCAAAGTGGTAGGCTTGTTGTGTAAATCAAATGATACAAACCCCCAGAAAATCCAATTTAATTCCAGGTTGTAAGGCAACAAAATAGGAAAAATGCCAAGGGGGATGAATACTTTGGCAAGCCGCTGTATAGTTGATTTTATTCTAACATTTGGTGTGTCTAAATATGGAACAATACGTTTTAAAATTCAGACCAATTGGTCAAAAGAACAGACGACTCTCGGTCGACTAAGATTTATTTTAGTCCCTAGTTGACTCTGCGTTCCACAGGGATGCTGGCCCATGTTGACTCCATTGCTTCCCACAGTTGTGTCAAGTTTGCTGGATGTCCTTTGGGTGGTGGACCATTGTTGATACACGCTGGAAACTGTTGAGCGTGAAAAAAGGTATTGATACAAACCGGTGCGCCTGGCACCTACTACCATACCCCTTTCAAAGGCACTTAAATATTTTGTCTTGCCCATTCACCCTCTGGAATGGCACACATACACAATCCATGTCTCAATTGTCTCAAGGCTTAAAAAATCCTTCTTTAAAACTGTCTCCTCCCCTTCATCTACACTGATTGAAGTGGTTTTAACAAGTGACATCAATAAGGGATCATAGCTTTCACCTGGATTCACCTGGTCAGTCTATGTCATGGAAAGAGCAGGTGTTCTTAATGTTTTGTCCACTCAGTGTACATGGTCCAGCACATTGATTCCTCTTGTGGGGCAGGACACATGTTGGGGATATTTTGGGAACATATGTTTTAAACATGCTTGGTTAAAGTCACCAGCGACAATAAAGACTGCTCTTAATGTACACTCAGTGTACATACACACTACTTACGACCAGAGTCCTATGGGACCAGAGTCCTACGGGACCAGAGTCCTACGGGACCAGAGTCATATGGGACCAGATGGGACCAGAGACCTATGGGACCAGATGGGACCAGAGACCTATGGGACCAGAGTCCTATGAGACCAGATCGGACCAGAGTCCTATGGGACCAGATGGGACCAGAGTCCTATGGGACCAGAGCCCTATGGTACCAGAGTCCTATGGGACCAGATGGGACCAGAGTCCTATGGTACCAGAGCCCTATGGGACCAGAGTCCTATGGGACCAGATGGGACCAGAGACCTATGGGACCAGAGTCCTATGGGACCAGAGTCCTATGGTACCAGAGCCATATGGTACCAGAGTCCTATGGGACCAGAGTCCTATGGTACCAGAGTCCTATGGTACCAGAGTCCTATGGGACCAGAGCCCTATGGGACCAGAGCCCTATGGGACCAGAGTCCTATGGTACCAGAGCCATATGGTACCAGAGTCCTATGGGACCAGAGCCCTATGGTACCAGAGCCCTATGGGACCAGAGCCCTATGGGACCAGATGGGACCAGAGACCTTTGGTACCAGAGTCCTATGGGACCAGAGCCATATGGTACCAGAGTCCTATAGGACCAGAGTCCTATGGTACCAGAGTCCTATGTTACCTAGTCAAAAGTAGTGCACTTTATAAGGGCTAGTGGTACCAGTGGGGTTGCTCCTCCCTGGCCCTGCTGACGTCTTTCGGACCCAGAAGTTGCCTCCAGTGGTCCACAGCTCCTGTCCTGGCCAGGGCCAGAGCCAACAGAGGACCACTGTAACAGAAAAACAGTCAACAGAGCCACACAGGACCACTGTAACAGACATGGGGGGAATAATAGACTAGGGGGAATAATAGACTAGGGGGAATAATAGACTAGGGGGAATAATAGACTAGGGGGAATAATAGACTAGGGGGGGAATAATAGACTAGGGGGAATAATAGACTAGGGGGAATAATAGACTAGGGGGGGAATAATAGACTAGGGGGGGAATAATAGACTAGGGGGGGAATAATAGACTAGGGGGAATAATAGACTAGGGGGGGAATAATAGACTAGGGGGGGAATAATAGACTAGGGGGAATAATAGACTAGGGGGGAATAATAGACTAGGGGGGGAATAATAGACTAGGGGGAATAATAGACTAGGGGGAATAATAGACTAGGGGGGGAATAATAGACTAGGGGGGGAAATAATAGACTAGGGGGAATAATAGACTAGGGGGGGAATAATAGACTAGGGGGAATAATAGACTAGGGGGGGGAATAATAGACTAGGGGGGGAATAATAGACTAGGGGGAATAATAGACTAGGGGGGGAATAATAGACTAGGGGGAATAATAGACCAGGGGGAATAATAGACTAGGGGGAATAATAGACTAGGGGGGAATAATAGACTAGGGGGGAAATAAAAAATGGGAATAAGAAAATAGACTAGGGTGGGGGAATAATAGACTAGGGGGAATAATAGAATATAGACTAGGGGGAATAATAGACTAGGGGGAATAATAGACTAGGGGGAATAATAGACTAGGGGGGAATAATAGACTAGGGGGAATAATAGACTGGGGGGAATATAATAGACTAGGGGGATAAAGACTGGGGGAATAATAGACTAGGGGTGGGGAATAATAGACTAGGGGAGCTAGGGGGGGAATAATAGACTAGGGGAATAATAGACTAGGGGAGGGGAATAATAGACTAGGGGGAATAATAGACTAGGGGGAATAATAGACTAGGGGGAATAATAGACTAGGGGGGGAATAATAGACTAGGGGGAATAATAGACTAGGGGGGAATAATAGACTAGGGGGAATAATAGACTAGGGGGAATAATAGACTAGGGGGAATAATAGACTAGGGGGAATAATAGACTAGGGGGAATAATAGACTAGGGGGGATAATAACTAGGGGAATAATAGACTAGGGGGAATAATAGACTAGGGGGGGAATAATAGACTAGGGGGAATAATAGACTAGGGGGGGAAATAATAGGGACTAGATAGGGGGGAATAATAGACTAGGGGGAATAAGTAGACTAGGGGGAATAATAGACTAGGGGGAATAATAGACTAGGGGGGGAATAATAGACTAGGGGGATATACAGGGATAATAGACTAGGGGGGAATAATAGACTAGGGGGAATAATAGACTAGGGGGAATAATAGACTAGGGGGGTGGAATAATAGACTAGGGGGAATAATAGACTAGGGGGAATAATAGACTAGGGGGAATAATAGACTAGGGGGATAATAGACTAGGGGGGGAATAATAGACTAGGGGGAATAATAGACTAGGGGGGAATAATAGACTAGGGGGAATAATAGACTAGACTAGGGGGGAATAATAGACTAGGGGGGAATAAGAGACTAGGGGGAATAATAGACTAGGGGGAATAAGACTAGGGGGGGAATAATAGACTAGGGGAATAATAGACTAGGGGGGATAATAGACTAGGGGGAATAATTAGACTGGGGGAAATAGAGAGGGGGTGAATAATAGTTAGGGGAAATAGACTGGGGGGATAATAGAACCCTGAGTTTCGAGGTCACTGATTCTGTTTGAGTGCCCAGTTGGTAGTTGATGTGTGATCTTGCTTTGATATTGTAGTTCTCTAGTGTTTCATTTGTCAGATGGTTACCTGGTCATGTTGTGCAGTAGGACAGGGAAGTGTCAGATGGTTACCTGGTCATGTTGTGCAGTAGGACAGGGAAGTGTCAGATGGTTACCTGGTCATGTTGTGCAGTAGGACAGGGAAGTGTCAGATGGTTACCTGGTCATGTTGTGCAGTAGGACAGGGAAGTGTCAGATGGTTACCTGGTCATGTTGTGCAGTAGGACAGGGAAGCAGATGGTTACCTGGTCATGTTGTGCAGTAGGACAGGGAAGTAGTCCTGGTCTACCTGTCGTCTGTAGAACTGTCTGGCCTGTTCCTCTGTTAACATCACCTCTTTCTGGAGAGACACAGTGAAGCCAGCCTCGTGGATACGAGACAAGATCTCATCTGGAAAACACAACAATACTGAAGCCAGCCTCATTGAGACCAGACCAGATCTCATCTGGAACACAATACTTTAGAAAAGGCAAACAAAAGTATGTTTAAATTTGCTTCAAGACTATTTCTGATATTTATTTGTTGAGGAATCGCTAATAAACGGTGTGAGGATGAAACGTTGAATATCTCAGAACGCGAATGACTTCTTCACTAAATACAGGCCTGGCCTGTGATGCTGATGTCCTGGTATTTGTATTTGTGTCCAGTAATTGGCAGGCCCCCACCTCTGCTCTCCCTGGCGAGGTCGGGCCGGATGATAGCCAGTGTCCTCTCCACTCGCCCTTCCTCCTCGTGCTGCTCTGCCCGGGAAGAGGTCCTGAAGCTGGGGAAGAAGAAGGCCAGCTCCCTGCTGGCCTGGTGGCTGTCGTCACTACCGTGGAGCGCGTTGAACAAGGTTTCACTGCCATACTGGGCACGTAGGCTAGGGGAGGGAGGAGGAGAGGGGGAGAGGGGAGAGGAAGGAGAAGGAGGGGGGGAGGGGAGACAGAGGAGGAGGGAGAGGAGGAGGGGAGACAGAGGGGAGAGGAAGTAGAAGGAGGGGGGGAGGGGAGACAGAGGAGGGGAGGAGGAGGAGGAGAGAGGGAGAGAAGAGGGGAATAGGAGGGCAGATGGTTACTCTGCTGGTGACCAGTGAGCATAGTGAGGAGAGAAACGTTACCTTGGGTGTGTCTGTTCTGTTGGAGCAACAATCTGTGTAGATACATGCGGTCTTCATTCAGTGAAGTGAATGTCCACACAGGCCTAAAACTAAGCACTTATGTGTTGTACACATATTAAAAGCCATCAAATGTTTGTAATGAATATTGAATTTATGTCCCTTTAATATTATGATCATTGAGCATTGTACCCTTGTGCTGTTTCTGGATTAGGAGTCTGTTTCTGGATTAGGAGTCTGTTTCTGGATTAGGAGTGTGTTTCTGGATTAGGAGTGTGTTTCAGGATTTGGAGTCTGTTTCTGTATTAGGAGTCTGTTTCTGCATTAGGACTGTTTCTGGATTAGGAGTCTGTTTCTGGATTAGGAGTCTGTTTCTGGATTAGGAGTGTTTCTGGATTAGGAGTCTGTTTCTGGATTAGGACTGTGTTTCTGGATTAGGAGTCTGTTTCTGGATTAGGAGTCTGTTTCTGGATTAGGAGTCTGTTTCTGGATTAGGAGTCTGTTTCTGGATTAGGAGTCTGTTTCTGGATTAGGAGTCTGTTTCTGGAATAGGACTGTGTTTCTGGATTAGGAGTGTGTTTCTGGATTAGGAGTCTGTTTCTGGATTAGGAGTCTGTTTCTGGATTAGGAGTCTGTTTCTGGATTAGGACTGTTTCTGGATTAGGAGTCTGTTTCTGGATTAGGACTGTTTCTGGATTAGGACTGTGTTTCTCATTTAGGAATCTGTTTCTGGATTAGGAGTATGTCATGTTTTTAACTGTACCTCTCAGGTTTATCCCTCCTGGCTTCCTCTATGTCTGCTGGACCAATGAACTCCCTCCATGCTGGCACCACATGACCTGACCCCTCACCCTGAGAGATCACCAGGACGTGGGAGGGGCCGCTGGACATGAACTGGATCAGGTCCTCAAAACAGGCCTGGGAATACACAGGTAATAGTGATGGGCATTCTGAATATTTTCAGGTGAGCCAGATCTTTTAGCTCTGTTCACCTAAAAGAGACGTTTGGCTCCCAAACTGCTCTTTGTTCAGTAGTGCTTAAAAATGACTGAAAAACCATGAAAAATAAATAGCAAATTTTTAATATAAAGCCAAAAAAAGTTTCCTATCATGATCTCAGATCGTGAAACGTGAGTTCAAATCTATTTTTTTACCTGACGAATGAAGAATACAAAAATAACACATTGCAAAAATGAGCAGAATGAGTCTCTCTCTCTACATCTATCCAGAGCCACTTACAGTTAGTGAGTGCATACATTACTTAATTTTTTTCATACTGGCCCCCCGTGGGAATCGTACCCACAACCTTAGCGTTGCAAACGCCATGCTCTACCAACTGAGATACATCCCTGCCGGCCATTCCCTCCCCTACCCTGGACGACGCTGGGCCACTTGTGCGCCGCCCCATGGGTCTCCCGGTTGCGGCCGGCTACGACAGAGCCTGGATTCGAACCAGGATCTCTAGTGGCACAGCTAGCACTGCATTGCCACTCGGGACTACCTATGGTTCCTGCAGTGAGGAGTTATCATCTTCAGACAATGTTTTTAAAAATAATTTATCTACAGATAATCGTTGCCTGTAGCTCAAAAAGCAGTAATAGCAGTATGCAAATCAGGGTGACAAATTAACATCTCTTTCACAGATGCGATTCGGTTCCAGACGTACACCAGAAAGATCTGTTCAAAAGGAGCTGTTAGTTTGCGAACGACCCATTACTAACGGGTAACACACAGGGAATGATGACTGAATCTTGAGTTAGGCTAAACATATAAAGCCAGGTTCCCGGACACAGATTAAGCCTAGTCCTAGCCTGGAAAGCATACTCAATGGTAAATTATCAAATGTAAATCTCCATTGAAATAACTTTTTAGTGTATGATTGGGCTTAATCTGGGGCTGGAAAACCAGCTCACAGTGTAATGTACACATGTTGTAGCTCTTCCTATGATTTACAACACATTTTCCACCTATTTCTAAATCTCTTAGCTATAATTGGCTACAGCCATGAACTGCATGGTGAACCCTTAGTCAGCATGTCTATTTGGGGCATGTTGTATGGAATACTGCATCTACGTGAGAGTGTGATGTCTAACAACATGCTTTGAGAAGGATGTTTATCCACTACTATCGGTGTGATGTTATGTGCTGCTGAGTGAATGTATGTTTGTCTGGGAGGCTGCCAAGATGGTGAATATGTGTACCTCTGTAGGAGCAGCACAGTATCTGTTTTTAACATAACATAACACTCTGACATCTTCAGCAGATTTAAACATTCTCCTCTTTGGTTCTCTGTACTGTACCTCTCCTGCTTTGTTCTGGTAGAAATCTACTGACCTGTCCTGCTTTGTTCTGGTAGAAATCTACTGACCTCTCCTGCTTTGATCTGGTAGAAATCTACTGACCTGTCCTGCTTTGTTCTGGTAGAAATCTCGTGCTTCAGAGTCGCTCAGCGTTCTCTCCTCGTGGGCTAGGATCTCAAACCCGGCATCCTGAATCTTCATGATAATCTCACTAGCTTTGCCGTGACCCACAGCGTTTGGTTTGATGATGGCCACCGTGTATGATTTACTGGCTGGAACTACAGACAGAGAGTTCCTTGGCTGTAAAACACTGGTTAAAGTTGACAGAAAATGATTAAAAGGACCACATAAGGTGTATAAGTAGCTACAGTACCAAGTACATCTTCATCACTCTGATCCTCCTCCTCTTCCTCATCTATCAAACCGTCATCTTTCACCTGAACAACACAAAACAGAGTGATTTTTTAAACTCTCAAGCAATCAGCATGTTTGAGTGTACCTTGCTGTTTGCAAGTGCATGTGTGTGTTTGTGTCTGTCTGTCTGTCTGTCACCACTCTGCGTTCCCCTCCCTCCTCCAGGACAGTCTTCTCCCTGGCCAGTTCCTCCAACACCATCCTCTGGAGAAGAGGTGCGTTAGCCCCCCGCAGCACACACACCATCTCACCCCCCTGAACCAGATACAGAGGTTAGGGTCATCATCCTCTGGAGGAGAGGATCATTAGCCCCCCACACAAGGAGACGAGAGAGAGAGTGGAGAGAGAGAAGAAGAGAGAGCGAGGAGAGAGTGCGTGAGAGGAGTAGAGAGAGAGCGAGGAGAAGAGTGAGGCGGAGCTAGTTGCGAGGCTAGATGAGAGACGAGAGAGAGCGAGAGAGAGAGTAGGAGAGGAGCGAGAGATCTCGAGCTCTCGCTCAGAGAGAGAGAGCAAGCTACTCTAGAGCTCCGACTCTAGCTGACGAGAGAGAGAGAGAGAGAGAGAGAGAGACACTTACCCCATAGAACAGGAAGGTGGGCTCACACTTCCCCCTGTACCTTTCTAGAGCATCAATACTGTCAGCTTTTGCCTGCAAGGAAAACCAGTTCAATTTAAACAAAAGCCTTTTTAAATATAATGTTTTCAGAAATATCATTCTAAATGTAATGATATTTGTCTGTTGTGTTCACCGTGGCAAAATGTAACAGGTCATCTCCCAGTTCATTTTTGATCTTCCTCAGTAAGCTGACAACAGCACGGCATGGACCACACCACTGCTGGTACACATCTACAACTGAAAGGGACAGAGACACAGGACAGGAGTTAGTACTATGTAGGCACATCCTGCAGTAACCAGCATGAACACATGGGGGCAGCAGCATGCAGTGGAAGTCAATCATACATTTCTCTTTGAATAACCGAGTAAGAGGAACGTTTTCATTGCAATAATGAAACAAACAAGTCACAACATACAGCCAGGGAGAAACGGCTACGTGTAAGTAAGTATATGCAAACAAAGCACATCATTCTTACCTGTTAACCCTTTAGTTGCAAGCATCTCATCCCATTGCTCTTGGTTTGCGACAGACGCCTGGAGAAAATAGTACCAAAAAAAGAACAGCAGTGTTAGCTAACGTTACATTCTGATCACAGATTGAGCGGCCCATCACTCCCACCTTGGATATCTGCTAAAAAGGTATGTTTGACCGACCGACCTGCAAGATTACTTCTTTCTTTTTGCCAGCCATCTTAATAATGTACTATCTGAGAACACTATTTGTAACAATAAATCTCCAAACGTTATTTGCAAGAAAAAAAAAAAAAAGTATTTAGAAGTGGAGTGAGAGTGTGTTTGGCTTCCAAACTATTGAACTAGCTAACTCTTGTTTGCCTTCTCGTTGCTAAGCAATGCTCTTCGTTGGGTATCCATTGATTTGCCACTGGGTGGCGCCAGAGCCTGCTATTTGCAGAAAGCTTTTGGTGTCTCCAGTGCGCTATTTATTTTTATTTTAGCTAGCTAGCCAAAATGACATTGCAAACGCCAATAACATTTGCATGCATCTACTGTTGTGCTAGGCTCTGTTCTGTCAAGGCTGACAGCTGTGTTGACATGACAACTGGGTCCGAATTCTGAACCCTTCGAATGGATCATGTGACAAAAGGGTTTGTTTTGATTGGCTGTTGCTTGCAACTAGTTGCACAAAGTTGAAACGTTTCAACTGGATGCAACCAAAGTTACAGATGAGTTGCAGGGGGCTGTGATGCCAATTTAGCAATTTTGTTGCTAGATTTAGCAGCTTTTCAGACTACCCTGGCAACTTTTTTTTCAAACAGCACCTAGCAACAAATGTAGCTACTTTTAAAAATGTATTTGGAACTTTTAGCAACTTTTGAAAAGTGACTCAAACGCTAAAATGCATGCATTTTCCTTCTAAATGACACAAAAACAATTTTCTCTGTCACACACTCAGTCACAACACACGTGCCTGGCTGCAAAAGTGTATTGTGAGTGACGTCAGCAGCAGGCCAGCCAAGCAGCACAACAACCTGGAGAGAGCTGGAGAGAGATGCCTAGTGCACACATCATTATTTGAGTTAAGTTGCTTGTTCAATAAGATAGCATATATACCTTGTTATTAGCTTGTACCTATGATTGTTGATCAGTTAGGTAGCATGTTAACTAACTACCAATACACTGCTTAAAACTATAATTGTTCAGAATGTGTAGGTTTAATAGTTAATAAGAAAATAAATAAAATGTAATTGTTCAATAATGTGTAATTGTTCAATAATTCAATGTGTTGTGTTTATAAATAAAAATATCTGATCATATAAAATGTGTTGTGTTTATATTACTTTTACAAATAAAAATGTGTGATAATAAACAAACCCATCTAAACTAACAAATGTGAAATCATATTTGTCGCCGAGATGGCCAGTCAATTTGAGTAACGTTATTGTGTGTTCTACGTAATAACGCAGATTTACGTTATTACGCAATGACGTCATCACGCAATGACATCACAACGTCATTTAGCAACTTTAAGCAACAAATCGACCTGTCTTTAGCAACTCCCCTGAAAATGAGTTGGCAACACTGGCAGGGGGGGTGTTTCACGAAGGAACTCAACTTGCATGCAAGTCGCGTCGTGTAATGGCAACCTTAAACCGATGTCACACGAAGCAATCTGGAAGCAATTTATGTTGCTTGCCAGTATGAAAAATGTATGCACTCACTAACTGTAAGTCGCTTTGGATAAGAGCGTCTGCTAAATGACTAAAATGTAAATGTAATGTTGCAACTGAGTTGCATTGCATCGCTAGACATAGGGCAGTGTTTGTTTGAGGATTTCTTGTCAAATTATGCTACTTTGAAAATGATGTCGCTGGTGAAAATGTATTGGTCGCGAGTTACGGGTTTTTGGGCTATTTCAAAGTTGCACCGCGGCCTCCATGGCATTTATCTTAAAAATATATATTTCACTGTGACCTCCTGCTGACTGTCAGGCAGTGAGGCAGGCTGTTGATGAGTGAGTGAGTTGTGGGGAGGAGGACCGGAGGAGGACCGGAGGAGGACCGGAGGAGTGTGTGTGTGTTGAGATAGCACTACAGTTATTGGCTGAGTTACATGAGCGAGAGCAGCACGCCACGCCATCTTGTTACCAGTTGTAGGTCGGCTATTTAACTTGTCATAATGGAGACACCTATTTTCAAACCTTGTTCCATAAAACATATTAATACGCTAGAACTGATGCACATCAGTTCAAGCACCGGAAAACGACTTTGGGCGCACTCGAGCGCATTACATAAATCCGCTCGGAAGTGGTTATAATGTTGACTGCTTAAAGAAAACGGTATCAAGCGAAGTGCTTTATGCATGCTCAGTTCTTGGGTCTCAGGGGCTGAATGTGGAATGTGCTAAATGTGGAGAGTTATACAAGGGCCTCTGTTGGCCATCAAGTAGCCTATTAATGTCTATGCCATCGTAGGCTACCATTTGATACAATTAATGTTGAAATGAAGATATCGCTGGAGTCATTGCAAATCAGTTTGTGCCACTTGTGTAGCCTACCTGGAGCTGGCAAACAAATTAAATAAATAGCCAATAACTTCAGTGTATTGTTGTTGTAACCTTGTGTTATTATGAATTAGATTGACAGTAGTCAGATTAGGCTACAGGTAAAACACATTCCAAAAAAATAAACACTGGCTGTTGTTGACAAGCATATTCAGTTCATATTTATTTTATTTATTTAACCTTTATTTAACCAGGTAAGCCAGTTGAGAACAAGTTCTCATTTACAACTGCGACCTGGCCAAGATAAAGCAAAGCAGTGCGATAAAAACAACAACACAGAGTTACATATGGGGTAAAACAAAACATAAAGTAAGAAATACAACAGAAAATATATATACAGTGTGTGCAAATGTAGCAAGTTATGGAGGTAAGGCAATAAATAGGCCATAGTGCAAAATAATTACAATTTCGTATTAACACTGGAATGATAGATGTGCAAGAGATTATGTGCAAATAGAGATACTGGGGTGCAAATGAGCAAAATAAATAACAATATGGGGATGAGGTAGTTGGATGGGCTATACATATTATTCATATTTAATTCAGTGATTGAAATTATGACCCCATCCTCAGTAGCCTATTCCAGCAGGCTATTGGGAAACACAAGCACTTCGAATTGCGAAATCGCCTCGCTATTCATGTTGAATAAATTAGTCTGTTAATTTGAATTTAAGCAAGGTGCTAAATCGTTCAGTTTACATAATGCCTACATCTTGTCTAGGCTACTGTAGACTATATGAAATAAGATGTAGGACTATCAGGAGCTATAGGCTACCTGCCTTTATCTAAGCAAACTATGGCAACATTTAATTAGAGTCATAATCCCAGATTTGAGTCTGTAGCCTGTGTCTATTGAAATGACAAGTCAATCTCTTAAATGGACCATTTATAACGGTTTGTAGTCTTAACATCTGGCACATAATAACAGCACAATTGCCAGAAAATAGCCTAACACTAGTTTTTTATGTTCATCCAAGTGTTTCTTGCTCAGAGATTTCGAGATCCTCTGTCCAACTTTCATCACTCAAACTCTCCTGTCGAATTTATCTATAGTTATGCACTAAATAGATTTATTTACAATTATAAACCTGGTTCGAGCCCTGAATGCTGATTGGCTGAAAGCCGTGGTATATCAGATCATATACCACGGGTATGACAAAATATAAAGCATGTTCTGTTCTAATTACGTTGTTAACTAGTTTATAATAGCAATAAAGCACCCCGGGAGTTTGTGGTATATGGCCAATATACCATGGCTAACTGCTGTATCCAGGCACTCCGTGTTGCGTCGTGCTTAAGAACATCCCTTAGCCGTGGTATATTGGCCATATACCACACCCCCTTGTGTCTTATTGCTTAATCATAGCAGTCAAATGAGTTAAATCGACATCCATTGATGGACAATTATCTGGCGAATTATCCTTTCTCTTGCCACATATTCAAATTCCTTTATTATGTCATGTCATGTCATGTCAAAGCTTAGAATATTTATTATTTTGAGGAAACCCAAATTTTGCTTCTAACGTCATTACAAATTACTATGATATTCCTTCTTAATTGGCTCGATAACGTTATGGAAAAAGGTTTATTGTATAGATATGGCAAATCCTCTCTTGCTGTAAACAAAAAAAATGGGGCTAGTTTTCAGGCCTTTTGGGCTGGTTTTGAGTGGTCATTGTGCTAGACATTTTTGCTTAAATTCACTCTGTTATTCTGCGTTCTGGCACACAGACGAGAGTGCTCTGAAATCAGAGTAGATAGCCAGAGTGAATTTACGAACTTGCCCATAGAAATCAAGCCTATTTTGTGCAACTGATTGTATGGAATGTCCGTTGTTCCGGTCAGAACTCCAACCAGTTGTCATGTCAACACAGCGGTCAGTGCTGCTTCAAACCGCTAAAGAAAATGGGGAAAATATAACAATTCTAGACATTATGGCTAGTCGTGGGTTATGTACATGGTCTGGCAGACAATACATGTCATTTTAAAAGTGAACCCAGATCTTTCTCTGTCCAGTTTCAACTGAAATTGTCCAACATGAACTGCACTAACTAGCTAGCTTAGCTCATCCCTAGCTTGGTTAGCTAGCTAGCTACTATAGCTTGGTAACACACGGTTTTGCAAATAAGCAACATTTTGGCTAGCTAGCTAAATTGTACAGCCAACATTTTGTCTATATTGATGCTGTTACAATTACCAAACATATGGATAAACAAATTATTTATGAAACCATGATGTGATGTATGACAGGATTGGGTGTTGCATGCAATTTCAATTGCGTTTGAATTGCTTCGCGTATCAGCAAAGTTGGTTTAGATGATGTCACTTGCATCTACAACAGAAATTGCGTCCAAATTGCTTAGTGTGACACAGGCTTTATGCCCAAATCAAACGAGATGCGTTTTTTTTTTACACTTGTGTGTTCACGCTGGAAATAGAGTGCATGAGAGTGACCGAGAGAAAACAGACCGGTTGCAAGTGTCACCAGCGTAAAGCGCGTCAAAGTACAAAGCAAGTATTTGTGCAACGTTACTTCTGGAACATGTATAGTTAAAACTTCTTCTTCTTCGGTGGGGTTAATCGGCGGTTGGTATCCAACGTTATGGTGCATTACCGCCACCTACTGTACTGGAGTGTGGGCCAAAGACGGGGAGAAACAAAATTTACATT